AGGCTGAGACAGAAGAATCACTTGAACCTGGGAGGCAGAGGTTGCAGTGAGCCAAGATTGCACCCCTGCACTCCAGCCTGGGTGACAGAGTGAGACTGTGTCTCCAAAAAAAAAAAAAAAAAAAAATGCCCAAGGAATTGGTTACTGATAGAATCTGGAAGTCTGTCCTCTCCAAATCCCATGCTGAAATGTCTCCCCAGTGGTGGCGGTGGGGCCTGGTGGGAGGTGTTTGGGTCACAGTAGCAATCCTTCATGAATATGCGGTGCTGTCCTCCCAGCAGTGAGTGAGTTCTCACAAGACCTGGTTGTTTAAGTGTGTGGCACCTCCCCCAGCTCGGTCCCACCCTCATTCCCCTTCTCACCAGGTGGCATGACTGCACCTCTGTCACCTTCTACTGTGACTGTAAGCTCCTCAAGGCCCTCACCAGAAGCACATGCTGTCACTGTACTTCCTGTGCAGCCTGAAGAAGCTCTTTCCTTTATAAATTATCCAGCTCCAGGTATTTCTTTATAACAATGTAAGACAGTTACCATATGACAAGGACTCTTCATAGTTCAAAAAGAAAAGCCAGATATCAGCAATTTCATATGAAAATTGGCCTGAGTTCGCCAAAGCCTTTCACATCAACAGTTGGTCTCCTTCTACCAAACAGAAGAGACCATTCACAGTACTGTTGGATTGGACCTAGGTTAATAAAAGCTCTATTTATTTTGGAATCTCAATAATCTAGATCTCTTTAAAACCATTAATTTGTTCCTCTAGTTACTAGAAAGGGTAGGGGCATTGGTTAAAATCTTATCTCTCACCTAGCAGCTGGTTAAAATCCTGTCTAGGCCGGGTACAGTGGCTCACGCCTATAATCCTAGCACTTTGGGAGGCCGAGGCAGGCAGATTGTCTAAGCTCAGGAGTTGGAGACCAGTCTGGGCAACACAGTGAAACTCAGTCTCTGCTAAAATACAAAAAACTAGCCAGGCGTGGTGGCCTGTGCCTGTAGTCCCAGCTACTGGGGAGGCTGACGCAGGAAAACTGCTTGAACCCAGGATGTGAAGGTTGCAGTGAGCCGAGATCAGGCCACTGTACTCCAGCCTGGGTGACAGAGCGAGATTCTATCACACACAAAAAAAAACACCTTGTCTATTACTTAGCAATGCTATTCCTATCACTTTAGAAATGTCATTTAATCTTATAACCTAAATTTTCTCTTCTTCAAAATGGCAATCATAATAACACTTTGTAGAGCTGCTTTGTAGAGCTGTAACTATTAGTGACGGGAACGGCAGCCAGCCTGGAGCAGGGGAGGCATGGCCATGGATGCAGCTCTATAGAAGGGGTGGGGGAGAGCTGGGAGCAGGTGGGAGCTCCTCCACTTCTGAGTTGGCAGGGTGGGAGCCCAGTGCTCCCAGCCATAGCTTCTGCCTCCCAGCCACAGCTATGGAGCTGGGCATCCCAGTGCTCTCAGGGGCCCAAGAAGCCCCCCTCCGCCGACAGGCTTGAAAGTACCTGATCCTGCTGCCTGGCCTCTCCCAGCTCCTTGCACCTGCTCTGATTTTGGAGCAAAGTTGAGGCTGAGCCTGGGTGCTGCCGCAATCTGACCGGGTGTGTGCTGCTCAGGATGGCACTGACACACCAGTCCCCTGCCACCTCAGCCACCTCGAGACTTTGGGAGCCCCTCTGGACTTTGCCCATCTTGACCATGAGCATGGGAGGGAGGCCACAGAGTGGCTGAGGGCGGCTCATTGCAGGCCTGCAGGCACCCCTCAGCACAAACAGTCTGGGAACCTTAAGACATGATTGACAGCAGAAGGCAGACAGGCTTCTGGGCAGAAAGGGGCAGGTCCCTGGTGACACCCCAACTTCAAGCCAAGACCAGCTTGAAACCTGGGGACCCACTGTCAGTTCCCAGTGAAGTCTGTGGCCCAGACTGAGAACTTATGGTGCTTTTTCTGGCCTGCCCATGGCTGCCCATGGACCAATCAGTATTCATTTCTTCCCTTCTGAGCCCATAAAAACCTCAGACCCAGCCAGGCTCACATAGACCTGGGACTGCCAGCTGCACAAAGGAGCTAACCACTGTGGGTCTCCTGAGAACTGTTCTGCCACTCAGGGAAGCTCCTCTCAGCCTTGCTCACTCTCCAGTTGTCCATGTACCTCATTCTTCCTGGATGCAGGAAAATAACTCAGGACCCACCAAATGGTGGTACTAAAAGAACTGTAAGACAAACAGGGCTGAAACATGTCCCCATGCTCAATACGTTGTAGGCAACAAGGAGAGAAGGGCTGTGGCCCTTCTGAAGCCTAGATCTAGGGGGTCCCCAAGCCAGGGCTGTTAACACCCTCTTTGGGGTTCTGCGGTTCCCAGCACCTTCGTGCTTCCAGGAGCCACCATGTTCCCCTTGTCCAGACTCAGGCGCCCACAGCGAAAGCTGCATGTAGTACATCTGGTCCAGCCACAGCCCTGCATGGAGCCACTCCCCTGACCAGACCCTGCACTTGCTCACCCACACACCCCTTGCTGCTCTGCACCTGGCTTGCCCCTGGCAGGTATGGGATCTGGGCTGGTAGAATGAGCTGAGTGCAGCCTGCCAGGCCAAGTGGGTGGAATAAGCCCAGTGGGCACAAGCAAGACTCAGGCAGAAGGTGCCGCTAGCCCCAGAGGTTTCCAGCTGGTGAAGCCACACCCCAGGGATCCTGTAACATTAGGCATAGTGTTAAAAAATCCCTAGCAGGGGCTCAGTAAGTGGCTTATTACTATGATAAGTGTCTACAGGGCTAAACAAAACCTTACGAACCTTCAGGAGAGAAGACACTGTCTTAACACACCGCACCGCTCCAGGCCTGTTTGCCTGATGCTCCGCCCCCTCCAGGCCCCCACCAGAAAGTCCTCTCTCTATCCTACTCTATCTGCACCTGCCTCCCCTTATTTTCGTTCACCCTGAATTCCAGTCAATTATTTCTTGTTTACTCCCCCTTTTCTTCTTCTCTCATCTCAATACAGCATCTTACAGATAATCTTCATGAAATGGGAATCCAGTTTCATAGCTAACATCAGCAAAATCCCCACTAGATTATCGACATGGCAGGCAAGACACACATGGCGGGTGAGGACCCGTTAAGTGAGGAGCAGGAACCTGCAAGGGTGGGTTGGGGATCAGAATTTCACGAGCCTCAGGGCATAGGCTGCCCCTGGTGGGATGACATCCACCAAAAGCTGAAGCAACAGGGTCTCAATGGGATGTGGGTCCAGAATGACTAACTCTGGCCATCAACAGGAATTCCCAAGGAAGGGACACGGGACAGGATGTTTTCACAGCTCAGACAAAAGATAATGAACACAAGGATGGAATGAGGAGCACTGAAAATGAAGGAGCAAAGCTGATGATCTAGGGTGTGCTATTAGACTTCATAACTTCACAGAAGCAAGGAGGAGGTGTGAGAAAGAGCAGGCTGTGGTGTTCATCACCTGGGATTTTCTTGTTTTTTTTATTTTTTTGTAGATGGAGTCTCGCTCTGTCACCCAGGCTGGACTGCAGTGATGCGATCTCAACTCACTGCAAACTTCGCCTCCCAGATTCAAGTGATTCTCCTGCCTCAGCCTCTCGAGTAACTGGGACTACAGGTGTGTGTCACTACACCCAACTAATTTTTTGTATTTTTAGTAAAGACAAGGTTTCACCGTGGTAACAGGGATGGTCTTGATCTCCTGACCTCGTGATCTACCCACCTTGGCCTCCCAAAATACTGGGATTACAGGAGTCAGCCACTGTGCCTGGCCTGGATTTTCTCTTTAGGACATGTGGCTGAGGTTGAAGTATTTTCAGAATACTCAGGGAAAGACATTTAGGAAGTAGGTGGTGATATACTCCAGCCCCTCAGGCTGATTTGGGAAGCAAGAAGTTGTAGGAATGGACGAGATGACCTGGGAAGAGCAATGTTCAATAAAAATATAACATGAGCCACAAATACAAGCCACACACGTGTTTTTAACTTTCCTAGCAATGGCCAGGCATGGTGGCTAACATCTTTATTCCCAGTATTTTGGGAGGCCAAGGAGGGAGGATCCCTTGAGCCCTGAGTTTGGGGCTGCAGTGAGCTATCATGGCCACTGTACTCCAGCCTAGATGATAGAGTAAAACCCTGTCTGAAAAAGAATAACAGGCCGGGCGCAGTGGCTCAAACCTGTAATCCCAGCACTTTGGGAGGCTGAGGCGGGCAGATCACGAGGTCAGGAGTTCGAGATCAGCATGGCCAGCATGGTGAAACCCCATCTCTACTAAAAACACAAAAAATTAGCAGAGCATGGTGGCGCATGCCTGTAGTCCCAGCTACCTGGGAGGCTGAGGAGAATTGCTTGAACCCAGCAGGAAGAGGTTGCTGTGAGCTGAGATCACGCCACTGCACTCCAGTCTGGGTGACAGAGCGAGACTCCCTCTCAAAATAATAATAATAATAATAATAACAATAATAAAATGTTTTAGCAGCCACATCAAAAACATAAAAAGAAACAGGTAAAAATAATTTTACTAATATATTTAACCCAAACTATCCAAAGAGAAAGGGAGCCACAAAGGCCAGGAAAGAGAGCACTCATTAAAAAAATAAAAAATAAATTTAAAAAAAAAAAAAATTGAGGTCAGGTGCAGTAGCTCATGCCTGTAATCCCAGCACTTTAGGAGCCTGAGGCAAGCAGATCACTTGAGGTCAGGAGTTCAAAACCATCCTGGCCAAGGTGGCAAAACCCCATCCCCACTAAAAACATAAAAATTAGTCTGGCGTGCTGGCACGCCTGTAGTCCCAGCTACTCCAGAGGCTGAGGCATGAGAATCATTTGAACCCAGGAGGCGGAGGTCCCAGTGAGCCGAGATCCCACTACTGCACTCCAGGCTGGGTGACAGAGCAAGACTCTATCTCAAATAAAACAAACAAACAAAAAATTAGCAAATTTGGTTTTGACTAAGACACATCAGTTCCTCATAGGACACAAGTAAACACGGTACTCACTGTTTCTGAAGAGGAGGATGATCTCTGTAAATTCTCACTTTGTACCCAAATGCTCTCTGTCACAAATGCTATGTGTTCTGCTTCAAGTATAAAAGGAGACACAAGAAACAGGGCCCACTTGTTCAAGTCTTCAATGAACTGTAGAGAGGGAAAGAAACATAATGAGATTGTCACTTCACACCACAACTGCCATAAATTTCAATCCCCTCTGAAACATACCCTCCCTGTAATTCCAAGTAACATATAAATAAGATTATCTGGGCCAGGCATGGTGACTCAGGCCTATAATTCCAGCACTTTGGGAGGTCAAGGTGGGCTGATCATGAGGTCAAGAGACCATTCTGGCCAACATGGTGAAACCCTGTCTGTACTAAAAATTAAAAAATTAGCTGGGCATGATGGCACATGCCTGTAGTCCCAGCTGCTTGGGAGGTTGAGGCAGGAGAATCACTTGAACCTGGGAGTTACAGGTTGCAGTGAGCCAAGACCATGCCAGCGCACTCCAGCCTGTTGACAGAGCAAGACTCCCTCTCAAAAAAATAAAAAATTAAAAATTTTTTTAAAAAGTTTATCTGATGCTCTTCTGTAGGCCACATGAACCCAGTGTTTCTTATTTAACTGTGACTATTTAAGCACCTGCAAAAGCCCCTCTGTGACTCAGGACAGCTTTAACATCTCTAATAACTGTTTTCAAGCAATGAATTCTGAAACAGGGCTTATCCCCACCGTTCCTCACTGCTTAGCACATAATAGCTTCCCAGATACAACTAGGAAGCACATTTAAAGATAAGGAGGCTAGTGGCATGGTGGCTCACGCCTATAATCCCAGTGATTCACGAGGCCAAGGTGGGCAGATTGCTTGAACCCAGGAGTTCAAGACCAGCCTGGCCAACACAGTGAAATCTTATCTCTACAAAAACATGCCAAAAAAATTAGTTGGGCATGGGGTGGGCACCTGCAGTCCCAGCTACTCAGGAGGCTGAAGTGGGAGGATCACTTGAGCCTGGGAGCCGGAGGCGGCAGTGAACTCAGATGGTGCCACTGCACTCCAGCCTTGGGCGACAGAGTGAGAGCCTGTCTAAAAAGAAAAAGAAAAGAAAAAAAAGATGAAGAGGCCTAGAAGTACATATCAGCCGACAGAAGCTCCTTGGAAGCCTGACGGCTGTTCCTCCATTCCCTACAGCTATCACAGACGGGGCACAAGGCAGTTTTTCTTTCCGCCTTTCTTAGAGTGAAATCAACCTTGCTCCTCGCCCTGAGATCTGGGAAGTGTGCAAGTCTCTGGATGCTCACACAGCAGTCAAATCCAGAGAGAAAAGCCATTTCAGGGAAAGGCATTTACCATATGCAGAGACGCAATCAGACATACTTTAACTGGAATATCAACTACAGTCAGGAGTGATTTTAGTTTTCTAAAAGGAAGATTAGAATCAAGCTTGGTTAGCAAATCAGATATACCCATTTATTTCTTGTTTTCTTTCCTGAAATCTCTGTAAGAAAAACAGCAAATTGATTTCTAAAGGCTTTTATTTTATGAAGAAAAGAAAAAGATGAAATCTGAGCTGGGCATTCCACGAGCTTTCATCATCACCCAGGAAAAAGGTAACCAGGCAGCTCCACCGTGCTGCATATTGGATCAAATCTGCTTGATAAAAACCTATTGAACTAAATAATGAATGAAAATTTAGGGGAGAATTTGCCCCTCCCTGGGTAAACATAATTATCAACATAGTGGTTAAAAAATATGTCCACTTTATACAGGCACAGAATGTGTATATTAAACAGACAAAAAGCTTGACATTGCCAATTTGTATAAACTATTTTTAGTTATACTTATCAATTGATTGTTGAGCATTTAATCATAAACATATACATTCAGTATTTATGCATTTGACTTTAAATGTAGAATGTATGAGAAAAGGCCAGACACAGTGGCTCACACCTGTAATCCAAGCCCTTTCAGAGGCCGAGACAGGTGGATCACCTGAGGTCAGGAGTTTGAGACCAGCCTGGCCAACATGGTGAATCCCCGTCTCAACTAAAAATAGAAAAACTAGTTGGGCATGGTGGCCTGTGCCTGTAATTCCAGCTACTCGGGACGTCCCAGCAGGAGAATCACTTGAACTTGGGAGGTGGCGATGGCAGTGAGCTGAGATCTCGGACACTGCACTCCAGCCTGGGCGACTGAGCGAGATCCATCTCAAAAATAATACATATATACACATATACACACACATATATATGTATGAGAAAAATAAGGGCATGAGATTCAGGTGAGTCCTTATTTCAGCCCAAGTAGACTGAGGTATCCACCAAATCGTCAAACTAATCATATTTTAAATCTCAAAATAACAGCAGCCAACCACAAATAAATGGTCAAGCTTTCCACCTGTAGACCTTAAACGTCACAGCTTAAACCCACCAACTATTAAATTTACTCTTTCCTTCGCTGAAATACTGAGTGACTAAGCTGCTATGCTAGATGGGCTCAGTTCCTAATAAGAAAAAGATACGAACTAGCACAGGAGCTGTGATTTAAAGGCTACGGGGACACAGAGCATGACAGTTCCATCTAGTCCGGAAAAGTAGGAAATGACACAGCGATATCTAACCAAAGCTGTAGGCAAAGCTTACTGTGCAGAGTGGGAGAGCAGAGTTACAAAATCTCTGAAAGCAGCAGGCCACTCCTACTCAGGGCTGAGCAGGTGGGCTAGGGCTGAAAAGCACTAGTTATGGTCCGTGTAGTTAACAGAAGACCAGTGGAGTCATGAAAATCTTCAAAAGCAAAACTTAAATCAGACATTTCCATCTCAATGTTTTTATATGTCCAAAATTTCTATTCTGACCCATACCCTAAATGTAATTTGGATCCAATTTGGAAACTACTATAAAAAGCTCACCCCTCAATTTTTTTCCCATTTTAATGAGTCATCTTTTTCAATCAGGTTAATTCCCAAGGCTCCAAGTAAGCCGCACATTGTATGTAATAAATCAACTTCTTCCCCTTTTGTCTGGGTAGTGCCAGTTATGTCGAGTTGGTACTAGTTATTTCTAGGTGGTACTAGTTATGTGCATAACTAGTACTTTGGGGGACCTAAGAAAACAGTCATTCATATTCAATGTGTCATAACACATACATGGTACTAACAAGAAAGAGTATATTTGATTTGCTAGCGGCACAATTTCATCCCATAGCTAAGCATAGCCTCCAGGAAATGTTCAAGCCTGAGATAAGATTCAATTTCGACTCAATTTCCTACAGGAGCTTTACGGTGTGACATATGCAGGAAACGTCATTTTAATGCTAATATGAGGCAACATTCCAGAAAACAGAGGAAAGGGCCAATAAACTGATTAAAAGCAAAACATGTTTAAATATTAATGAGAACAATGCTAGTGATGTCCATGAAATTTTGTGAACTGAACTGTGAAGCCAAGCCCATTTCCAAAAACAGCTGAATGGAAAGATCTATTGCTCCGTATACAGCAAGGCAGCAGAGTTTGTACAGAGATTAATTGACTGGCCCAAGTCACAATGTAAGTGACAGAGTGGGCTGAACACGTAACCACCATCCTAAGCATTGGATCAAAAAAACAAAGGCTGAGTGTCGACTGAAATTGAAAAGATGCAAAGCCCATCAGTCGGGTGCCCACGTTGGTGAACGATGCAACTGACAGAAGATGGAGAAGAGGAAAGGGCAGTTTTTGTCACCTTGGGGACATCTGACAAAAAGCTGATGACATAGGTGGGGGGGGTTTGTTTGGGATTTTTTTTAAGACAGGGTCTTGCTTTGTCACCCAGACTGGAGTGCAATGGCTCAATCATAGCTCACCGTAGCCTCAACCTCCCGAGCTCAAAGGATCCTCCCGAGTAGCTGGGACCACAGGTTCATGCCACTCCACCGACCTAAGTTGTTGTTTTTTTTATTATTATTATTTTTTGTAGAGAGGGATCTCACTATGTTGCCCAAGCTGGTCTCCATCTTCTGGGCTCAAAGCTGTCCTCCCTCAGGCCTCCCAAAGTGTAGGGATGACCAGCCTAAGCCACTGCTCCCGGCCTGCCACAGCTGTCTTTCCAGGTTCACGGTCACCCAAACGCCCGCTCGCAGAGCAGGAGAGGAGGTCGGGGGCGACCCCGGGCGGGAGCTGCTGGCGTCCGGCTGCCACTGCACAGCGCGCGTCCTCACAGGTGCACGCCTAGGGCCACGCGGCCACGCACCGCCCGGCTGGCCCGGGTCCACGGTCCAAGCCCCGCACCTCCGGCCCCTCCCGGGCCGCACAGGCCGCACTGAGGGCGCCACTCCCGGGCTCCAGAAGTCCCGGGCTCCCGGCGGGGACGGGGTGCAGGGCGCCGGGGCGCTTCCGGCTCGCGGGGCCCGGGCCACCCGCCCGCCCGGCCCGCCCACCTGGCTGTCGCTGACGCAGAAGACGCGGCCGCCGCGGCTCAGGCACACGCGGGCGCCGGGAGGCTGCGCGGATGCGCCGCAGAAGGTGAAGGAGCAGCACGAGGCGCGCAGCCGCCGCACCGTAGCGTGCACGAGCGCAGCCGGCCGGCGCCCCCAGCGCGCCCACAGGTACAGGTAGCACAGCGTGATGAGCATGGCCGCCCGCCCCAGCGCTTCGGGCCCGGCCCCGCCCCGGCCGGAAGGGCCGCGCGGGGGTGGGGACGCGGGGGAGGCGGAGACCCGAAGGGTGACGCGGGCCACCGGAGGCTGCGGCGGGAGGGGCGGGGGAGCCGGGAGGCCGCGCCGGGCTGTGCGACGGGGAGCTCCGAGGCGGCGCCCGGGGCGGGTGGCGGCGGCGAGGGGCAGCGCCAGGGCGAGGGCCGTGCATCGGGGTCCGGGGACGCCGAGGCTGCACCGCGGGAGGGGGCTCGGGAGCGGGTGGAGGCGGGAGTGAGGGGCGGCGTCGGGGCCGGGGACTGGGACGGGCAAGTTGTGGATGCGGGGGAGGGGAGGCTCCAGCGGCTGCCCGACCTGTTTAAGCCAAGACCTGCCTCCCTTCCTTGGAGGGGTGGGAGGCGGATGGAGGAGGCGGCTCTGCCAACGTTTACTGACCAGCACCACGGCGGGGGCTCACACAGCCTCGACGGCGGCCACTTGGGAAAATCATATAAGCCCGTTTTCATTAAATTACACAAAGCCTTCATGCAAAAGATTTTAAGGTCAATCACATAGTCACAGGATGCACTAATGTTTTTTAAAATAAGGGCAGGAAACAAATTGAAGACAGGTAAGTACCCAAAGGGCTGCCTCTAAAAAGGCTGTGCCAGAAAGGCTCCCTAAGGTGTTCTTGCTACATGTGGGTCACCAGTTTGACTGTAAGCATCCTAACTCCAGGGAGAAGGAAAACAGCCACATGATTCGATGTTCACGTCTCCAAGGGAAGCAGAATTAGTCCTGACACAGAGTCTTCTCCCATAGAACCTTTCTTCAAAGGCATTATGTAAACAACAAATCCTGAACAGCTCCGAAGCATAGCAAAGAATTCCATCCAGTGGCTTCCGATTCTGGCCTCGCTGCAAGATGCAGCAAAAGCAGTCACGTACACCACATGCAGGTCTTAATCCAAGGATGGTTTTTTGTTTGTTTGAGACGGAGTCTCACTCTGTCACCCAGGCTGGAGTGCAGTGAAGCAATCTCGGCTCACTACAACCTCTGCCTCCTGGGTTCAAGTGATTCTACTGCCTCAGCCTCCCAAGTAGCTGGGATTACAGGCACCTGCCACCATGCCCAGCTAATTTTTGTATTTTCAGTAGAAACAGGGTTTCACCATGTTGGCCAGGGTGGTCTTGAACTCCTGACCTTAGGTGATCCACCCGCCTCGGCCTCCCAAAGTGCTGGGATTTCAGAAATGAGCAACTGCACCCACCCAGGCTAGATTTTTTTTTTAAGAGACAAGGTCTCGTCCTGTCACCCAGGCTTTAGTGCAGTGGCACAATCACAGCTTACTGTAGCTTCGAACTCTGAGCTGAAGTAATCCTCCTGGCTACCATGCCCAGCTAATTTTTTAAAAATTATTTTTCATAGAAATGTGGTCTCACTATGTCACCCAAGCTGGTCTTAAACTGCTGGTCTCAAGCAAACTCCTGCCTGGATCCCCCAAAGTGCTGGGATTACAAGTGTAAGCCACAGCTCCTGGCTATAAGGATAGATTTGGGGTTTTTTGCTTGTTTGTTTGTTTGAGACGGAGTCTCACTCTGTTGCCCAGGCTGGAGTGCAGTAGCACAATCTCGGCTCACTGCAACCTCTGCCTCCCACATTCAAGCGATTCTCCTGCCTCAGCCTCCTGAGTAGCTGGGATTACAGGCACCTGCCACCAAGCCCAGCTAATTTTTGTATTTTTAGGAGAAATGGGATTTCACCATGTTGGCCCGGCTGGCCTCAAACTCCTGACCTCAAGTGATCCACCCACCTCGGCCTCCCAGTGATCTGAGATTACAGGCGTAAGCCACCACGCCTCGCCAAGGATAGATTTTTAAAGTACCTTGACCATTTGTTCATCTGCTTTAAAATAGCTGCATAGAATATCCACTCCCAGAACTTCAGACTTTGGTGAGATAACATAGTAGATTTTCCCATTGCACATAGCAATAGATTTTTAAAAGAGAGAGAATCCAAAAAGAAACAACTCAAAAGTAAGCATTTCGGCCAGGCATGGCTCACGCCTGTAATCCCAGCACTTTGGGAGGCCAAGGCAGGCAGATCACCTGAAACTGGGAGTTTGAGACCAGCCTGACCAACATGGAGAAACCCCATCTCTACTAAAAATAGCCGGGTGTGGTGGTGAATTCCTGTAGCTACTTGGGAGGCTGAGGCAGGAGAATTGCTTGAACCTGGGAGGCGAAGGTTGCAGTAAGCCGAGATTTACACTCCAGCCTAGGCAACAAGGGCGAAACTCAAAAAAAAAAAAAAGCAAGCATCTCTGTGGACCAGAAAGAAAACAGTAAGTGATGAACAGGACTAAAGCCGTATCGTACACTTCTCTACAGGACAGTGGCAACTGGGACGTGGGTTCCTGCATGGTAACAAGACCTAAAATTCTGTCACTGGAGGACGTGCAGATTCCTCTGAGAAGAGGCGAGCCTGCCACTCCAGGATAACACAGGGCTGCAAGTCATGAATTTGAAAATGAAAAGTCCTCAACAGTGCTAAATCCTAAATGTTTCACTGAACAACCTTTCATATAGCCTTCCTGAAGTTTGCTGAATTATGTAAGAACCTCTCCCACCCCCACTAGGTATGGAGAGGTCATCTCTTCCATCTGAAGTTCACCAGCATCTCCAGCTCTTCCAAATTCCCTGAGGGTTTTGAGACCGCACCTTCCCACAGGTCCCCGTAACTCCACCTGGCCAATAGGAACTTTCCAGGTTTATCCCTTCGGTGTTTCAAGATACGGTCTCAGAACATGTCATGGGAAAATCACATTTTGGGGTCAATCCTGTATACCAATTCCAGGTTAAAAGCATGGGGACCACCATGGTTGAACATGAGCTGACCCTTGCACTGAAGAGTACTGATAACATTCACGCCTGGCAAAGGAATAGAGGGAGGAAGATCCCAACGGCAGGGTGAGACGAGTTAAACTGTTTATGACTCCGCCCTAAAATGATTACATTTTTCAAAGGTCAAGGATAGAGTTGAGCTTCATCATCCCCATCTAGCAAAGGAAGAGGGGAAGGATGCAGAAGTCATCCATCAAGGGATGTTAGTGTGTATGTACCTGATCCTCATCCTGGAGTCCCTCGCTGCTCCAAGTGTGGTCTTCAGAGCAGCCGCGGCGGCATCCTTTGGAGGCTCACTGGAAACGCGGAATCCTAGGTCCTACCCAACCAAAAATCAGCACATTTTAACAGAATCCCAGGAGACTCACAAACACGTTAAAGTTAGAGAAGCACTGCCAACGCCTGCCTCTGTCATTCCCTGGCCACTCTAGACTCTAATTAGACATGGCCAAAATGATGTGCAAAGTAAGATCACAGACTAAGGACTTTTTTCTTTTTTTTTTAAGAGACGGGGTTTCACCGTGTTGGCCAGGCTGGTCTTGAACTCCTGACTCAGGTGACCCACCCGCCTTGGCCTCCCAAAGTGCTGGGATTACAGGAGTAAGCCACCGTGCCCAGCTGGATTTTTTTTTTTTAAGATGAAGTCTCACTCTGTTGCCCAGGCTGGAGTGCAGTGGCACAATCTTAGCTCATTGCAACTTCCGCCTCCCAGGTTCCAGGTTCATTAGATTCTCCTGCCTCAGCCTCCTGAGTAGCTGCGATTACAAGCATGTGCCACCAGCTAATTTTTGTATTTTCAGTAGAGATGGGGTTTCACCATCTTGGCCAGGCTGGTCTCAAACTTCTAACCTCAGGTGATCTGCCCACCTCAGCCTCCCAGAATGCTGGGATTATAGGTGTGAGCCACCACACCTAGCCAGACTAGGGATTTAGAAGCAAGACTTTGTCATTTTTTTTTTTTTTTTTTTTGAGACGGAGTTTCACCCTTGTTACCCAGGCTGGAGTGCAATGGCGCGATCTCGGCTCACCGTAACCTCCGCCTCCTGGGCTCAGGCAATTCTCCTGCCTCAGCCTCCTGAGTAGCTGGGATTACAGGCACGTGCCACCATGCCCAGCTAATTTTTTGCACTTTTAGTAGAGACGGGGTTTCACCATGTTGACCAGGATGGTCTCGATCTCTCGACCTCGTGATCTACCCGCCTCGGCCTCCCAAAGTGCTGGGATTACAGGCTTGAGCCACCGCGCCCGGCGCAAGACTTTGTCATTTATAAGAACATTGCAAAAAGGAAGAAGAGCAAAACAGCCACTGAAGAGCACCTCTGTAACCCATCACCATGACTGGCTTTCTATGGGGAAAGTCTCCACAGACTCAAAAAGTCTCTAGTTTCTTGTCCTTCGGAAGGCATGCCCTGGAAATAGTTTTTGGGACAAGGGAGAGTAGAGTGTTTACTATCCTATCCCCCTTTAAATATGTGATAGAACTTCCCCAGGGAAAGCCTATTACACCGATGTTAACTTGGTACCTGTTGGAACTTGGAGAGCATTCCGAATTCCCATCAGTCAAATGGCCAGAGCTGAGAAGGATAGCTTGTTTTTGTTTGTTTTTGATACAGGGTCTTGCTATGTCACCCAGGCTGGAGGGAAGTGGGACAATCCCAGCTCACTGCAGCCTCGACCTCCTGGGCTCAAGCAATCCTCCCTCCTCAGTTTCCCAAACTGTTGGGATTACAGGCATGAGCCACCACACCTGGCTAATTTCTGTATTTTGTGTAGAGACGAGGTTTCACCCTGTTGCCCAGGCTGGTCTCAACCTCCTGAGCTCAAGCCATCCGCACACCTCAGCCTCCCAAAATTGTGGCATTACAGGCACGTGCCACACACCTGGCTAATTTTTGTATTTTTTTGTAGAGATGGGAGTTTGCCATGTTGCCAGGCTGGTCTTGAACTGGGCTTAAGCAATCTACCCACCTTGCCTCCCAAAGTACCAGAATTACAAGCATGAGCCACTGTGCCTGACCTGGGATACTTTCTAAGAACCAAGGAGCTATATAGAAAATCTTGATCTCTCTTCAGTAACTTTAATACTTACATTAATAGGTTCTTTTTTTTTTCTCGATTTGATAATCAAGCAAAAAGTAATTTTATTTTGTTAATCAAAGAGAAAAGTAGATAATATTTAGAGCCAAAAGATTTTAAGGAAATATTCATTTGAACTCATGTCTTTAAGGGGAAATAATTACCTTTTCTTGCTCTGTTCACTGAGATGGCCTTAGAGTAGCCTTACCACAAAATACACCTGAGTGCTCAGATTCTTTAAAGGGTGCTCTTCTCCCCATTACAAGGAACTAGAAATCCTTGGAGAAATCGCTGATTCACATGTTCAGGAGATACGGGAAAAGCTGGATCATCTTAGGCTAGGCAGCAGGGGAAGCTTCAAAGAATAAGGCCAGGCAGAAGGACGCAGGAGACAAGCCAGAAGTGCTTCCACCACTAGCCAAATCAGGACGATTTGAGTATCAAATTGAAACACACCCAATTATAAAGAGCCAGCTGGACACAGTGGCTCAAACCTATAATCCTACCTCTCTGGAAGACAGAAGCAGGCAGATCAACTGAAATCAAGAGTTTAAGACCAGCCTGGCCAACATGGCGAAATCCCATCTCTACCAAAAACACAAACATTAGCTGGGTGCAGTGGCACACACCTGTAGTCCCAGCTACTTGGGAGGCTGAGGCAGGAGAATCACTTGAACCTGGGAGGCGAAGGTTGCAGTGAGCCCAGATAGCACCACTGCACTCAAGCCTAGGCAACAGAGAAAGACTCCATCTAAAAAGAAAGAAAGAAAAGAAAGGCTTGAAAGAAGCAAAGCCATCGATTTATATTTCTGGATTAATAAGGAATCTATGCATATTTTGGGTCTTATATATACCTGAAATGTGTTAGAGAATGTGGCTGTTTTAAAGACATTCTTACAAGTAATTTGAAATGGGTACCTCTGGATTGAAATCTTACTGAGTTTGTAAACAGTATTGAAACATCTAAGAAAATATTATTAAGTTTGCCATATTAATATACTGAATCTACTAGATTGATAAGAATTATATAATCAAGCAACTGAAATGTATAAAAAAGAAATTTAATTTAAGAAGGACTGGGGCCAGGCACAGTGGCTCATGCCTGTAATCCCAACACTTTGGGAGGCTGAAGTGGGAAGATCACTTGAGTCCAGGAGTTCATGACCAGCCTGGGCAACATAGGGAGACCCCATCTCTACAAAAAACACTTTTTAACTTTTTTTTTTTTTTTTTTTTTTTTTGAGATGGAGTCTTGCTCTGTTATGAGGCTGGAGTGCAGTGGTGCATCTCAGCTCACTGCAACCTCCACCTCCCAGGTTCAAGTGATTCTCCTGCTTCAGCCTCACAAGTAGCTGGGACTACAGGTGCACACCATCACACCCAGCTAATTTTTGTACTTTTTTTTTTTTTTTTTTTAGTAGAGACAGGGTTTCTTTTCTTTTCTTTTCTTTTCTTTTTTTTTTTTTTTTTTGAGATGGAGTTTCACTCTTTTTGCCCAGGCTGGAGTGCAATGGCGAAATCTAGGCTCACCACAACCTCCGCCTCCCAGGTTTAAGCGATTCTCCTACCTCAGCCTCCCGAGTAGCTGGGATTACAGGCATGTGCCACCGTGCCCAGCTAATTTTTTGTATTTTTAGTAGAGAAGGGGTTTCTACATGTTGGTCAGCTAGTAGAGATGGGGTTTCACCATGTTTGCCAGGATGGTCTCAATCTCCTGACCTTGTGATCCTCCCCTCCCACTCAGACTCCCAAAGTGCTGGGATTACAGGCATGAGCCACTGCGCCCTGCCAAAAACATTTTTTTTTAATTAGTGGAGCATGGTGGTGCATGCCTGTGACGACAGCTTCTCAGGAGGCTGAAGTAGGAGGTCGGGAAGGTCAAGGCTTCAGTGAGCTGTAATCGCACCACTGCTCTCCAGCCTGGGTGACTGAGCAAGACTCTCTTTTTTTTTTTTTTTTTTAAGTAGCTCTGGAATGAAAATAGGCATTTGTAACACACATAACTGATAAAGGATTCATATCTAGACTATATAAAGAACTCCAAATCAATTAGGAAAAGTCAGAAAACCAAAAAAGGAGGACCGCTAAAGATGAAAAAGCACTTCAAAAACAGACTATACCCAGCTGCCTGATAAACACGAAAAAGCACTCGGCCTCAAAAGTAGGCCCAAATTAAGACCTTCGTGAGAATTTGCAAACACCCGTCAGTTTGGCAGGAATCCCCTTCTCAAGTCCTGGAATTCCGGCCTCCACCCGCATTGCTCAAACATCTGACCATTTCCCATTTCCATCCCTTCCACCTTTCGGCAGTATCTGGCATTCCTGACCATGCTGTTTCTACCAATCAACAAAAACTACTAGATATTCAACAGAGGGGATTTAATACAGAGAGTTGGCTACGACAGACAAAGGTGCTGAAACACCAGACAAGGGAGGGCATGGTGGCTCACGCCTGGAATCCCAGCAGCACTTTGGGAGGCCGAGGCGGGTGTATCACCTGAAGTCAGGAGTTTGAGACCAGCTGGCCAACATCGTGAAACCCTGTCTCTACTAAAAAATACAAAAAAATCAGCCAGTTGTGGTGGTGGGCGCCTGTAATCCCAGCTACTTGGGAGGCTGAGGCAGAAGAATCACTTGAACTTGAGAGGCTGAGGCGGGAGAATTGCTCGAACCCCAGAGGCAGAGGTACAGCGAGCCAAGATTGTACCATTGCATTCCAGCCTGGGCAACAAGAGCAAAACTCGGTCTGAAAAAAATAAGTAAAAATAAAACACCAGACAAGGGACAGTGAGGTTTCCCAGGGAACAGAAAGAACAGATGGCCCTGACCCTCTGCAGGGCTGAGGGCACCTAGCACAGGTCAAGTTACTATCACCCGGGATCCAGGGTCCCCTGGTGGAAGCTGGAACCCACAGATCAGTGTCATGGGAGACAGAGCCACAGAGGAACAGCTGCCGCTGGAGACATCGGCAGAGGAAGAAGGCGGAAAAATACCACGGCTGCTCCACACCTCCAGCCCAGTGCCCCACGGCCAAACCTCACTAGAGGCCCAGCAGCAGAAGAGCCTCCAGGAACCTCCTTGTGGACCAGAGGAGAGAGAAAGGCGGCAGGAGGGAAGGGTGTGTCTACGAACAAACAGCACGTGGCCAGCCCCTGGCCTTTCTGAAACTCTTCCCTTGGGTTTTTTTAAATTCACTATTCTGCTTGTGTTCCTGTGTTTATGGGCCAAACTGTGACCCCTCAA